CAGACACAACTAGAAGCTCTCATAGAAGGGTACAAAAGCAAACATAACCGACCCTTCGGGGGGTTGGCCTGTGGACGGACTGAGGGTGAAACTACCGAACAGGAGACCTTTGAGTCGAAACCACGTCAACCAGTTGAGTGATCCATTTGGCCATGTTCATCCTTTGCCTCAGCGTCTGTCTCTTGCCTCCTGTAGGCATGTCCGCACAGCTAAACCAACCTTTCACATCAAACATTAAGTAATCTAGACAAGGTGACAACTTGTAGTCCCTTTCTTGCACTCTCTTGATCTCTCTATCTTTTTCTCTTTCTCCCATACACACACACATACACACAAACACACACACACACATGTCGACAGACACAAGTGGCGACTGAACGTTGCAGGCCTGCGTCTGCAACGAGAGGGATTCGAACTCATACCCTCTCGTGCGGCCCGTCTGCCCAATGAAAGGCTGGCCTCAACTCCGGTCTGAGGCGTCGATTTGAGCAGGTCAACTTGCGTCCATCCCTTCCTGACGCCAAATTGTAGCAATGGCCAATTTGGTTGATCATTTGGTAGCAACTTTTGATTGAATAGCAAACCAAACTGGGTTTCCATGCGCCTATTGGAAAGTGACTGCACGCGAGTGGGAAGTGGGAAGCGGCATTTTGCAAAATGTCGTCAGGACTTGGAGGAATGCTTTTTGTACAATTGCAGATCTTCAAATGGTGTCAACCCCGCGCCAAAGTTAGTGTTATTCTATTTTTAATTCAAGGCAAACTTTGCTTGGAAGCAATTTGTCGAGTTTGTTTTGATAACTTTCTTATAAATTTGTGTGACCAACACGATCCGAGCCCCAGACGCAACTACGAACTAGTTGAAGAGAACCCACTTGTCAACTCGCACCGATTGACCAACAGAAAAGCAAACCAACGCAAGCCGACAGACAGACAGACATGCACAAATGCAAAGACACAGGCAAGATATGTTTCGTAAATGTCGGTGAATATTCACACAATCATATGATCAGACAAAACTTGTCCTGTCAACGTCACTTGGCGCTCTTATCAACCCCTCCCCGCGGGACTCAAACATGTCGAGATTGCAGTCTGCAGTCTCTTGGCTCGAGTCCCGCTCGAGTTGTTGCCGTAGCCTGGACGACGCCGAGTGAACTTGACCGCAAAAGTTGTGTCTACTCATGTGATTGTGTGAAAATTGCACTAGCAGCCGATTTGTCGCCCCAAGACGAAATGGGATGAGCAGATTTCATACAATCGCTCAATGACCGGTCGGAAAATGAAGGTGAACAGCACCTCTTTCGGTATCATCACATCATCACAACTGTCAGCTTTGGGTCGAGTTTGGCATCAGGTCGAGTGTAACCAAGCGAATTGTGTTGTGTCAATCGACAAGTGTAGATGTTCACTTCAGCTTTGCGCAACCGAGTTGCAGACCAACGCCGCTCGTCTGTCGGCTTGTGCACAGATCAACCGAGCAAGCCTTGCTTCCACAGACCCGCCGGCCGTCCAGTCGCCGCATTCGTCGTCTCGAGCTGACGCCGACTCTTGCTCTCTCCCATTCGTCTCGCATCTTTACTACCCTGTCCGTGTGCGCCTTTTACCCGTCATCCTACCACACACCCACACACACACACCCACAAGCACACAAAACAGCAGCCACGACGATGCGGAGGTGAAATTGGCGGCATTATTCGCTTTCAGAATTAAGATCCAAGCTCCGTCTCGCCTCGTCTGCCTTATCTAACCTCTCCACAAACCCGCTTTATCTCACTCTCTCACACACACCCACACACACACACACACCCACAAGCCCACAAAACAGCAGCCACGACGATGCGGAGGTGAAATTGGCGGCATTATTCGCTTTCAGAATTAAGATCCAAGCTCCGCCTCGCCTCGTCTGCCTTATCTAACCTCTCTACAACCCCCTCTTTATCTCTCACACACACACACACACACAGCAAATGAGTTTTGTGTGTAGATGGCGAAGAGTGCAGGCAATCGACTTGTCACACGTTCGGGCCTATCGCGCAGACTCGGCCGGCGTCCATTTAATGGCCACGCGTTCGAGTCTGGACGCATTTCGGTTTGACCTCGACCGCTCCGCTTTATCACTCGCAACCGCCCATCAGCCGTCCGTCCGTCCGTCCGTCCTTCTCTCATTCTCATTCTCATTCTCATT